AGTAGTAAGTTGCTAGAGGAGGTAAGTATCTGTCAGAAATAATTTCAGTGTAGGAAAATTATTACTTTACTACTTTAGTAGTAAGTTGCTAGAGGAGGTAGACATTTTTGTATATGAAGTTGAATTTCAGATGATATTCCCGAGTTTGTGTTGCAGTAGAATTTGTGTGGCTGACATGTGGTTGTCTGAATATTGAATGATAATGAATTTTATCAGTGTAGAACTAATTTGTTTGCTTGTCACACATTTCTCTTTGTGCCCTCTGAATTATATCATGTTATAAGTTTCAGTAATAGTGTTAACTGCACATTCCTTCAGTTTAACTTTACTTTCAATTTATGAACAAAATTAGGCACATGCTTTTTATTGGAGCTGAAAATGTTTGAACAATATTAGCTTTTTTGAAATCTTGAAAATATTGATGAAAAAAACAAAATATTAAACAACTTTATCATGTCCAACACTGAACAGTATTAAAAGCTAGAAATTATATTGTAAGTCAGATTTATTACTTAAACCTGATAAGCAAGATTTAATGCAAAATCTTGTTAAATAACATATCAAGATGTTTGTTTAACAGTTAAATAGTATGCATGAGAGGAAACTGGGTTATTTAACAAATAAGAAATTTCTTGAAGGAATTATCAAATAGTACAGCCCATGTTTGCAATAAAATATTCATAAGAGTATTGAATGTAAGTTCATTCAGAGATGGGATTGAGAAAAGATTCTTTTGTAGAATACTTTAACTTCAAAATTGATGTCATGCTGGAGGAACAATTATAAATCATATGTATTATTACTTGAGTGTTGGACTATTTGTTATAATATGTGTCAGTGTACTACAACTATTCATGTGTATTATATGTACCCAAATTATTTAATTATAGTTCCACTAGCTTATATCTAAAACATTTCAACACTGAAGTTTTTTTTGTTATATAGATGTTGCTTATAATTTTTTTTTGTTGCTTGAAAATCATGCTTTGCATTTTGGTGCTATGGATGTATTACAAGAGTGATGTGAGGTGGAACCCCACTATTTAACTAGAGTGGCCCAAAAGTTAGAAGTTGGTACTGTTGTCTAGTTGCCATCCCTCTAGCCTATAAGTTCAAAGTAGCATGGTTAGTCTTTGTGTATCTTTGCACAAAGCAAATAATTTTAAGAAAATTAAGTTAAAAATCATCACAAGAGTTTTCATAACTTAAAACATCATTAATTCTTTCATTGCTGCTTGAGAACAAATTATTTGAAATGAAGTGTAATACTCATACCATAGCTCAGTCTGTTAATTTCACCATGGTTGGAGAGAATTAAGGGACACCCAAACTTCCGTGTTAAATTTGAGTTCTAAACCTTAATCAAGATAAATGCAATTGTGTTTTTGGACAGTATAAGGACATGTTTAATTAATATTATGTTTGTAATTGCTTTAATTTAGAAAAGGTTATGTGAGATGTTGTCAAAACTGTAGTCCCATGGTATCAGGAATTTCAGGCAAATATGGTACATGTGTTTACAACTGATTTAGTGTATGGAAAAGACCTTCGCAATTTTTTGAAATTCCTAGAAGTTTCCAAATAACTTGAAAATGAACAGACCTTGTTTTTTGAAATAAAGTTATAACCATAAAGAGAAAGTATTTTGAAAATAATGTGTTTAGTGTGGGAATATTTTACAAAAATTAATAGGGATTGAGCAGATGGTTTCTATGTAGTAAGTAATTTATTCCATTAATACGGAAAGCTCTTAATCAGTTCTCTTTTAAACTAGACTGTAAATATGTAATCCCATAAAAGAATATATTATTAATGAGTGATTGTTTGTTTCAGGCTGCTTGTTTTCGGTACTTCATTCATCGCTGTGTGAAATATGTTTGGGATCAAAATAAGAAAGGGTTCAAAAGGCTTAGGTAAGACCAGTACCACATTAGTTTTAGAGTGAAACTATTTATTACTTTAGTAACTACTACAGAATAAGCTAAATTAAAGCTATAGTAATTCAATATATGTAGTTATTTTTATATTTTTAATATTGTAAAGTTTCTGACCATAATTTTATCTTTGTTCTCCAGAAAAACTTTTAACCAAAAGTGTATACAAAAGATCATTTTTTTTTTGATAAAGTATTTTTACTGATGACTTTGTCTGTGAATTTACGAAACCTTTAGTGAGTCAGGCTGAGCGAAAGGTATTTTGTTTTATTCTAAGAATAAAAATACTTTTCATATTATAGTTTTCCTATTTTCTTTGTATAATGTATAGATCCTTCTAAATGAATATTAAATGTTTTGCAATAAAATTTTGTTTTATTTCTTATTTTCTCTACCCAGACATTAACAGCATACTTGATTCTTGGGTTTGTTGACAAATGACCAACATACACTAGAGAAATATAAAAATAAGATGAGGAATATCATTCTTTCATCTAAACTGACTTGAGTACTTTTCAGAAAATTCCAAATTACTCAACAGTTTTAACTCAACTGTTAACTGTTTCTCATCTGTTTTATTTTTTGGTTTTACTGCAGTACCCACTAGAGCAGTAATCTTACATCAACAGAACAATAACAGCAAACATCATTAGCTTTTCCAGTAGGCATAACAAACAATATGGGAATGCTCAATGATACCTGTACTGCTTGTAAAATTTTAGACATTTTACTATAGTTTTGTTAAGCTAAGTTGAGAAGTATATAATTTTTACATTTTAGTTATTTTTGTTACGAAATACGTAACAACAGTTGGAAAACAAGGATTTGTAATACTCAATGCACTTTCAAGATGATTGTCACTCACATGCATATCTGAAGTAATCTTCTGTAAGCTTTATTGTGTCTTACAAATTTGAGTGTCCAAATATAATTTACAGGGCTTTCATATATGCATTTTAACCCTATAACTAGCGGCTACCTACATTGTAAGTAGGTAATGTTGCTCTTGTTAAATTTCATTCCAAAAATAAAACTAGGGGATGAAATTGTTTAAAATTTGGCAAGAACTTTCTAAAAGTATGTAGTTTAAGAAAAAGAAAATATTTAATTTTGATTATTTATACTAATTCTACTAAAAATTTGTTATTTAATATAGTTATTTGCACTTGGACTCTGAATAGTTCACTTGCAAGGTGATTTTCATGTTAAGTATAAAAATACTATTTTTTATCTTACAGTTTTCACATTTTACTTGCATAATCTCTAGAGCCTCCTAAATGAATATCAAAAGTTGTTTTTAAGGTAAATGTTTATATTTCCTTCCTTTTTCCCCTATCATATCACTAACTCTAGTTATTATCATCAAGTTATTATCTGACTGTCAAGTATGGTCCTGCTAGCTCTACAACTGTGGGAGGAGTTCATGGATAAACAAGTTCATAAACACAAAGAATGAATTAATATGGGATAACACAAACTTATCATAAAGATACCTGGAAGAGAAGAGTTGTGCAATTAGCATTGTGATCTAAAAGTAGTTTTGAAAGTAATATTGAAATATGTTTAGGAAACTGAAACATTTAACATGTTTAGTAAGATCTACAGTTGCATATGCTTAGAAATATTAAAAAAAAAGATTTAAATTTTTCAACAGAGGTTTTGATGAAGGCTTATCTTGTGGTGATTTTCATGAAAAATTTCATGGATACTCTACCGCTCGTCAAAGAGAACTGTAAGTTGGTTAACCCTCATTCTAGTGGATCACTAAGTCTATCTCATGTGTATTATAAAACTTGATAAACATAAACATTTGTTTCAAAATTATTATTAAAGATAATTTTTGTGTTTTATGTATATCCTTGTTTACAGAAACATAAATTGTGTTAAATGTAACTCATACAAAATTTTGTAAAGAAAATATTCTTTTATGTCAGTTAAAATATTTATTTTACTCTTAGACTATCAATTTTTTCATTTAATTTGCATGAAAAATGTGAATTATTTTATTATGAGAACACTACCATGCTGCTTAAATTACTGATATATTTACTCCAAAAGTGGATATGCTTAGAGAAGAAGTGTTAAATATGAATGGGCCAGGCATGGCCTGTTGGTGAATTTACACTGTTGCTATTTAAACAAACTCCATACTTTGGAGCTGTTGGAGTGCAATCAGAATGACAAGTATTTGATCAGGCAAGAGTTGACAATGGTTGTTGTTGATAATTAGCTTCCTTCTAGTCTGTCAGTTCAAAATTAGGGATGGGTATGTAAAGATAGCCCTTTTTGTAACAAATTTCTGAAACAAGAAAAGTTTAGTATTGCTGTTTATGTGACATTTCAGTTCTAGACATAGTGTTCTTATCATGATAAAGATAAGCACATTTACTACTTTGCAATATATTTACATGGTATTGGATCCGATGCAAAATAACAATACCCATTGTCATAACTACCAGGATTATTATGAACTACTTTGAGAAAGAAACTGTAGAGGTTATGGATTAGCCAAGAAGAAAATCTTAATTTAAGTACAATAGAAAAGCTGTGGGACCTCTTTGGGTATTGTCCACATCAACACTTTAACCCACTATACAATGACAGAAGGGTTGGCATTTAACCTGAATGAAGAATAGGACAGGACCTTCTATCATACCATCTTCCAACTAATCAGAAGATACTTTACAAATGCCAAAACCGTGTCATTGTTGTTAGGGCTCATACCTATTAATGAGTTGTTTTTTTTTTTCAAACATGACTCTTAGACAAATAGGCTGTAGCTAGCAATATATTGTGAAGGAAACTAGTTTATTAACTTTATGATAATAAAATTAGAAAAGAACTACCTTTATACTCCAAATAACTATAAGAGAACTTTTATTTCAACTGGTGTTTCATCTTTACAGCTACTTCAGGGCTAGTACATAAAACTGTTTTTGTACTAACCGTGAAAAAGCCACAAAGGCAAAACACCAGTTGAAATAAAAGTTTTTTATAATTATCTGGAGTGTAAAAGTAATTTTTTGCTAATTTTATTATCAAAATGTGTAAATCCCTCCAGTATGCACTACAAAGTTTGGTTTATTAACTGTTTTAAGTGAATAAATGATGCTTCTGAAGTTTTTTATTTCATCTCTGCTGTTACTTTGGTTAAAGGGCAAATTAACTGTAAAATATTTACCTTTATATTGTACATTGCCAGTGTTTCAATAGTTAATTTTCTTTTTATAGCATACAGATATGATATTTACAGGTGCACTGATTCTTCCCAGTAATGGAAAGATAGGTTCCTCAGAATAACAGGATGTTTAGCCAGGAAATACAGAACAAATCTGAATTAAATAACTTGACTGAGTTTGAAGAATGAAAGAAACTGGACATAATGTAAAACAAAACAGTCCTTATTGACAATCAAAAACAAAGTGTGTGTAATGGGTAAAAGATGGTGCCTTTACTTGAGAGAGCTCTCTATATTTAAGATGTTGTTGATCTCTAAGTCTGAAGAACATTTTCCAGACTGAGAAAACATAGCATTATACATGAAACAACAATGTTATTCTTCTCGAGGTGCATATTTTGCCCATGTAACTATTAGTCATTCCCATCACAAAATATAGGAAGTTATATCCTTGAAATATCACCTGACCTGCCAGTGGAAAAGGTCACTGTCTATTTTCACACATAGTATGTACAACTCCAAGGAAACCTTTTCCAAGGGAAGACAGGTGTGTGATACCTTAGGTAAATAACTCCCAACAATAAATAACTAAAGCAAAAGGTACTTAGCAACTTCACTGATGTTCTGTGTTAAAAGTGTATACACCTGAATAAATGGAAATTTCTCTATTCAAACAGTGGTTTAGCAAGCATAACACACACCGTTAATTTTTTAGTAAGAATTTTTGTGTTTTCTTCATGTTTAACTTGGTATTTCTTGTCTTTTTTTTTTAGAAGAGAGTTTTATGGAGAAAATACCATTGATATTGAAGTAAAGTCTTACTGGAGATTATTTATTGAAGAAGTAAGAACATTACTTGACCTTAAAACTAGATCATGCTGTTAAACTGATTATTATCTGGTGGAAGATTTATGGTGTGATGTAAATCCTGTGTTGTGCTGATTTCTTGTACATGTATGACATAACTATACTACTTTGAGACATCTTAATTCTTTGGTTGCTTTCCCTGAATGTATTACATCCTGATAAGTTATTTTATAGTTTTATCAATTTTATTAGTAAACAAGTGTTAAGACCATAGCAATCAAGAGCTGAGCAATTAACCCTATGGTTACAGGTCACCTTTCTGCAAGCCACTAGGTTTTACTGACTTGCATTCAAAATTTAATTAAGCAACTATATCATCAATGTATGTCAATTAAATTAGCATTGTAATGTATGTTATAATTCACTGTTTTATATTATCTGTGCTTTAATTCCTTTATTTCAAAAGAAACTTTTGAAAAAGCTCTTAATCTTTGATTTTGTTGTCCCATGATGCATAAACATTTACAAGTCTTAGTTGTTGGTCTCTGTAACTCAAGTAATTCTTCTCGTACACTAGGTATCTATGTCTAGATAGAAACTAAGCTAATTGCTCTGTTTATGCATCCTTCCTTCAAATTCCTTAGGGCAAGTTCTGATAAAAGAAAAATAAATCTCTTGGGAACTCTTGACAAAAGCATCTCCCACTTTCTACACATAATCACATGATTTCACACTCAACTCTATATATATATATATATGTAGATGTTTATAACCAATAGAAATAGCTTATTTTCAACTACAATATCCCAGTGGTTATTTTCAAATTGGCATGCAGAATTTCTTACAAAGTACATCAAACTGTTCTTAGCATTGTTTGTCACCTAGAAATATATTAGTTAGATAGAAGTTAAATTGCATATAAGTTTTAGTTTTGTGTTTTAGTTAATTATGTGTTATTTATTTTTTAAATGCATGTTAGAAAGGTTTAAAATTTTTTTTAAATATAACCGAAACTTTGCCTTGGTTCATAAGGCTTAGTGTAGTGTACAAGTGCAACAACATTCTGCTGAAAGGTAAGGTATCTGTGCCAAAAATACTGTAATATTGCATGAGAATTCTCATTGATGTGTATCAGGGTAAATGTGAAGATTAGGTTACATTATTAAAATTATTAAACCTTTTAGATATGAATTTTAAAACTCAAATAGTACATAATTAAGAAAAATATAAAAGTAAAACCTAAATGTAATTTAATTGTTTATCAAATTAATTTGTATAAGGCAAGAAAAACTTAAGTGCTAGTGGCAGATGGCCTAGCAATAGCAGAAATTAGACTTCCTTGTAAACTCATACTCCATGCCAGTTTCAAAATAACCTTAAGAAATTATAGTTTAACACTTTCAATATGGGCTCGGTCAATTTGACCGACCATGTGACCTTTTTGTACTCATTTAAATTCTTTATAGATTTAATACTTACAAGTCTCAGTATAGTGGGTATATCTTCACGAAATTTAGCAGTCTTTCAGTTAATATTACAAGTCTTTCACATACAAAAACTTGTATTTCTTAGTGAAGTAATAATAAAATAAAATAAAGATTTGTCCATAAATATATTGAGTATTTATTTTTAATAGTCTGTGGCAAAGTAATTTTCATGTTAAAATTAAAAACACTTTTCCTCATCTCAATCTCAAATGTCATTTGTGTAATCTCCAAAACCTCCTAAATACATTTCAAATGTTTGTTTTCATTAAAACTTTATAATTTATCTGTTACTTTCTCTACCCTATCTCAAAACAGGATCGGTAAATTGACCGACCTCTTAACCACAAAAAAAAATCAAAATAAACCTAAATTACCCTTTTTTCTTTCTAGAATGCCTTTAAATTGTATCATGAAACTTCATTTGTTTATCCCAAGTAGCTCTAAGTTCGTAACAGTATACATCTATTTATAATTATATTATATTTTTTATTGCCCTTTGAACTTTGTCTAACTACTATTCCTGCCATTAAAAGTTGTAAATCACTCAGGGAACGTGCATCTCGTGTTACACTATCGAATTACATTACCCACGAGCTGCTCGAGTGCATGCTATGTGATAAATTTTAATTATATTATTAGTATTACTTATTTTACCTATTTTAGTCTTAAATAACTTAAAAAGATCTTTTTTTCTAGATTTTAGTTACTTTTACAATAATAAATAAATAATAAATTTGAAAAACAAGAAATAAAGTACTTACCTAATCTTTTTTTCTTGCTGTCGGGTTTTGAAGAGAGTTAATCCAATTTTTTTTTATACTATAGATAGTAATGCACTTAATAATTTTAATTTAATTAAATAATGCACCAAAGAATATTGACTAATTACATGCAAAAAGTAGACAAATTCATTTACATCTCAAAATTTTCCTGGCTTTCTAACTATGGGACAAGAGCTGTTACAAATTCATACAAGCTAGTTGTTAACTTTCCTATGGGAACAAATCTTGTATTGTGAGTGAAATTGGTGACATTCTGATCAGAATACAACATTATACAATACATCATTTGATAGATGAAAACCTTGACGTTCTGTTGGTTATAGGTAATATATAATGAAACGAACTATCAACGAATTGTGAAAGAGAAGATGTGACAGATGGGTGTAGCAGGAGGGGTCTGATTTTCTGTTCGATAGCTCTGTAACCAAACAAAATTAAAGACTGTAAAAATTATGGTTTGTCTGAGCTATAATGATTTTATAGAGAGTAATTTATGTTTAATTTTGTACATTTTCGAGGGGTGATGGATAAAATAGGGATGATGACGTGCTAAGACAAAATGTGTCACGTGTGTCACACTAAGGAAAATTCAGATTTTTTTTAAATATTGCCCTATATAATTAAGAACTTAAAACTTGTATACTATTATAATATGGATTATTAGCTAAGATTTTATGCTATTCTAATTGGTATAACATAAACAAAAAGTAGTACAATAAAATTTTGAATGTAAGACAATAAAACCTTGTGTCATGTGCAGTAAAGGATACCTGGGGTGATAGGGTTAAAAAGGTTCTTTTTATTAGTTATAAGCATGTCCTTCAAATTGAAACTATTGCTCAGCAACAGACTTTCTACTTTTGAAAATGGGCATGGCTACTATCAGAGGGTGAGAAAGATTTACAGCATTCTCTATCAAAGTTTCCAGTTGTAAGGGGAAACGTGTTTGGAATTTGAGCTTGTATGGGTAAAAGCTCGTCTGGAGATCGTACTGGTACTTCAGACTAAACTGAATAGAAATAGAAGAAACCCAAGCTAAGATACTATTAACTGCATGTTTGTCATATGACAACAAAACTGAAGTTTTAATTATTGTTTTAGAGGTTTCATTTGAAATGAATGTATAAAAACTTAGCTAATATAAAATTTGATTTATAATGTACTTGATAATACTAATTTCTTTAAAATACATTGATTTAATTCAATTTTGAATGTAACTCATTAACCCTTTAGTGACATGTACAGAAAGGACTTTAACCCTTTCGAGATGGGTCACGGGTGAAAGGCCATGTCATCTCGTTTGTTGACTCACATTCAAAATTTTATTGAACTACTATTTCATAAATTTATGTCAGTAAATTTGGTATCAAACTGTAGGTTATAATTCAAATTTTAGAACTATACATTACTCAATTTGTTAATTTAAAAGTAAATATTAAAAAAAAGATAAAAATAGATTTTGTGTGTTACGTATGTTAAATGCAGCACTGGTTCAAATTAGATGTTTGTGAAGTTAAAATACTAAATCTGTAGTTTCATACAAATTAGAAACTCAAATTACCAATATTGACAAGCTAGAATATAAGATAAGATCTTATCTTTTCTATTTGCTAAGATATTGCTCATGCAATAAATCAAACACAGTGGCACCCAACTCACCTCTTTCAATTTTTGTAAATGCTCCCTTATATACTTACTTCTATATATGACATGAATAACCAGTCGGAAGCTCAGAATGTCCCTCTAGTGGTTTTCTCAGCCTTTGTAACATACCTAGTGCCATTTCTTTCTTTTGAATCAAGATTTCAATTAGATACATTGTGCCTTTAGTCTGCTCTAAACTTTTTAGACCCAAATATAGATTAGTTACTAAGCTTG